GTTTTTGGTAGCAATTTGCTGTTACTTTTTGTCGACAAGCTTTGGCAACAAAATCGAAGCCTAATGCGGACACAGTTGATGCCAATTTGCTGAATATTTTTGCTTAAAATTGCTGACAATTTGCTGGCAAATTGCGAACAAATTGTTTACTGGGTATATATATGTTCAATATTCTAAAAAAATTTTCAAATTGTGACAGTTAACTCATATTAATAATTAATAGAAATATGTAATGAGAAAGATTTCCAGTCAATCTTGTGTGCACATAGCACGAAATAGAACCGTACGGTCGTGGACATAGCACGGAATAGAACTATATTCACGTTTGGATATTGTACGCACCGACAAGTCGCTTATGGACATGGCTGCGTAGTTCCAATGTGCACCACCCGTAGACATGCGCTAGTTTACGAGGCAGAAAAGTGATTACTCATTTTCTTATGGGCTTGGCCATTATTATAGATGTCTATGGATCAATTCGTGGACACGATTTGTGTCACCATCTGGTGTTTCAAATAGTCACTAGAGAACTGCGATCTAGAAAATGATAGAGATTGAGAGAGAGAGAGAGAGAGAGATGTAAAATCTGTGAACAAAGATGGACGGAAAAGCGACTTCCAGCAGTTCTTCGACATATCGTCGCGCTAAGTGAGTTTTTAGTGATCAAATTGCCCATAGTCTATTAATCGCTCTTCTCTTCTAAATTTTATTATTTATTAATTATTTCTTTATATTGCCCAATGAAAAATATAATTTGAAGATAAGCTTGGTATTTCCTAACCTTTTTGGTGTTTATATAGTTTAAAAATTGGACCTGGTGCAGTAGTATGTGAAGAGAGTGTTCTAAAAGGTGACATTACTATTGGTGCAAAGACTGTCATTCATCCTAGAGCATGTATTCTAGCAGAGGCTGGTCCAATTATTATTGGGGAAGGTAATATTATCGAGGAAATGGCAACTATTGCTAACAGGTAAATATAATACCTTTACTTTACATAGAACATTTAATAGCATGCTATTTACTTAAAATATATAATTAAATTATTATCATTTTCATATAGATTATCACCAAATACTCCAGAACCTGCAACAGTGCCTGTGCAAATAATAGGAAACTACAATGTCTTTGAAACTGATTGTACTTGTGAATCCTATAAAGTTGGTGATAACAACATCTTGGAAGCCAAAGGTATAATTAAATAATAATCTAGTTTCTTTTTTTGGCACAAACTAAATTTGTGTAAAGTTCTTTTGATTGTATTGCTGATCAGTTGCAAGTGATTAAGTAATTTAGCAATCATCTATCCTTAATTTTATGTATAAATTTTTATATACATAATTCATCATTCACACAAAAAAATTTATAAATATATTTATACATATTTCTTCACGTATATTTTACTTGAACTATTGCTTCGAGAAAATTTTCCCACTTCTCAATTGCAAGAATATTTTCGCATATAAGAGGCACAGTGTGCTCGTGCAGTTCGAGCGTCACTTCGTTGCGCGTGAACTTGGCGCGAGGCATTACCATGTCTCTTAATAATATTTTAAATAAATAATATATTTTAAGTAATATATTTTATATAAATTTTTCTTTTTTAAAAGCGTACGTTAGTCGTGAAATTGAATTAACCAACGGATGTGTTATTGGAGCTGCGTGCTCTTTGACAGAACGAGAGATAGTACCAGAGAATACAATAGTATATGGAAGCCAATGTGAACGTAGAGAAATGAATGATAAACCCTATGTAAGTCCAATTGTTATTGCTATTTCTTTTTTTCACTTCATATATGACATCGCTTTTCTCTATTTCAGCCTCAAATTGGGCAATTGGACTTTTTACTAAAAGTACTTCCGAATTACCATCACTTTCACAAATCGAACATAAAACTGAAAACTCCTTCGGTTCTAAGTAATACGTAATATATTCGTTCTTTATCATCTGGTATTGAAATAAAAGAATATATACACAATTTCAGTACTACACTTTGTATTATATAGTATGTACTTTAAACAAACTCTTTAAATTTGTATAAATTATTTAATATAGGAAGTAATTTTTTTGTAAGTATATGTATTACACTTTTTTGTTAATTTTTTCTATTATTTATTATTATAAGCACAAAAATAAACATTGCTTAATCAACAGTCCGATAAGGTGTTTTCCAAGAATTTATATTTTTTCTTACTTATTTTTTTCTGTTACTTACTTGAAATATCATTATTATAATACATCTAAGATTAAGATAATTTTGTATTTATAACGTGTAAAAATATTACATTTTTAAATGGAATATTTTTTACGTTTTTAACGATATTTTGTTAAATTTTGGCAAAAAAGATTCAATGAAAAGAAAGTCGATATAAAACTAAGTGAACTGTGTACATAACACAAATACTAACTAAATAAGGTCATACATTAAAAATAAAAAAAATATATATATAATTATAATCACAATAAAGAAAAAAGTTAACTAACACATTCATGCAAGTCACGCGGACCCGTAAGAAATGCAATGCGTGGAGCGAGATCAACTTCACTGTGATATATATATATATATATAAAATATATGTTACACATCACCTATTTATCTACCCAAATATCACACACACACACACACACACAATGTAATTCTATAATCAGTATAATTTACATTTACATAAGTAAACTCAAATAAGGTAAAACATAGTGCGATAATATTGATAAAAGAAAACGTGGTACGCGGATCATATTGGTCGCATTTAATCGGCAATGAATTAAAAGAAATTCAAAAGTCAAAAATTTACTTACAAATCTAATTTACTTGCGGAGATATTCCGGAGAGTCGGAGTTTCAAACGTACTCATTAAGCAGTAGCAGCAGACTAGTACTAGTCGAACACGGCAGTATATAAATAGTTTGACTAAATATTAATCCCACCTTTGAATGATTTTTTTTAATCATCAATTCTTCTTGTTTCTTCAGTTTGTCTTTGAATATTTAATGTCATTTTTTCTCGAACGGAATAACTTTTTTTAAACTGTTTCGAAACTTGGTTCATGATTTGAACAGTTTTTTTCCATCTTGATTTATTTTAACTCAAACTGTTTTTTATTATTATTTTTTATTTGTACAAGAAAAACTTAAGTCAGTTTTTATTATTATTTTACAAAAAATGATTTTTCTATAAAATCTGTTTTCCAAATTATAAGACCAAAACCCAGACAGCCTGAGGTTCAGGTTCAGGTTAAAGATGGACAATATCAAATGCAACATAAAACGCAATGTATTCCGGACGTTTCGATCAATTTTACTCTTTCGTTTATTTCTGAGATTATGAACAATCTAGCCAGATCTTTAAAGAAAATGAATTTTAAATGGTTTTTTAGATTCTTGAATATTTTGGAAAGATTCATTAAGACACAAAAATGAATTTGAACATGGCTCGAACAGCAATATAATTTCTAAAATCAATTATTCTTCTCCTGTGACTCTTTTTATGTAGACCAAACAGGAAGACAATTGCGAACACGATTAACAGAACAACGTAATTTTTTATTAAACTTACGAACCGCAGTTTTTTGTTAATCGACACCGTAGTGATTTAGGTCATGATTTCCAGTGGTATAAAGTTGAGATTTTAGACAAAAAGAACAATTTTACCACAAGAGATTAATCTCAGAAATGTTGCACATAAAAACACAAAAGGCAGGTGTTAATTTAATGAAAAATACCGAGCTACTTGATGCTATCTATACTCCTGTACTTAAGAAGCTTCATTAGTCACGTGTTTTTAGTCACACATGTTGATTTCCTCTCCTCCCTCTCTATTTTTAAGTTTGATTTTTGATGCGTTATTTCTGACACCTCTCGTATGTGTATTATATGTTTTGTAAGACGGTTATGCTTTGTTCCGTTTCTTTGTGTGTTGACGAGTACTGTGACATTTTAGTCCGGTTTTTAATCTTACAGTACAAAAAGTAAGTGTTACAAATAAGTGTATTTATTAATTAACTTATTTATTATTTTTATTTATTTATTTATTTATTATAGTTCTCATAATTTTATTTATTGACTTTCTATTTTATACCTCTGACTTTTATATTTTTTATACTTTGAGTTTTTTTATTTATATATCTACATTTTGACTTTTTTCTTTTGACTCAAATTTGATTACTCTTACTGATTACTTTTATAATATTTATTCATTTATTTATTTGATTGTTCGATATAGAGCTTCGATACATAGACATCATACTTTGATGTTTAGTATATGTTTATTTTTTCGTTATCTTGTTGTTTTGGTTCAACGTGCTTGCCGACGTGCATTAAGCGGTCTTTGTGATGATTAGTCGAGCTAGGTACATACATATTTATTCAAAATTGTTTTTTTTTGTGTGTATCTTTCTATCTCTGATGGATATTTTTTTTATTATTATTTCTACATTGTACACAGTGCTGAAGATGATCACCAATAAAAGTGATCAAAACGTCCGGAGTACACTGCGTTTTATGTTGCATTTGATATTGTCCACCTTTAACCTGAACCTGAACCTCAGGCTCTCTAGTTTTTTGTCTTATACTTCGCTTCATCGAGCAGTTATTGAAATACTACTTATTGTTTACGATAATCTTCAAGATGCGTATAGTACGAAAAAGACCAACCTCGTTTCTAAATTATATTTTAAAAAATTTAGATTTTGATATTTATTGTTTGTTGAGAGAATGGATTTACAAATCAAACAGAAGGATCACTAAATTTTAACAAAATTGCATTTTTTAAGCCTCTTGCACAATGGACGGAATAGCGATAGCGATAGAAATAACAAAAGTTTTAAAGAGTTTATATTTAAAAATAAAGGTAGGAACAGCGGAATCTAACATACAAAAATACACATGTATCAATGCAGATCAGAAAATCGGAATAAGTAATAGCGATAAAATTTCCGACGAGTTGAAATTCTGTGTTAAAAACTGTGTTATTTCTATCGCTATCGCTATTCCTTCCATTGTGCAAAGGGCTTTATACTCTTGCAAAAAAATATTGTACCACCGTATATCGTATTTAATTTTCGGTTTATAAGATTTTCTAAACAAATTTAATGCGCAAGTTTTCTAGCAGCCTTTGTAAGAAATATTATCAATTATGAGATTCGCGATGCTCATCATTTGTTACATGAATCTTTTTGTAAAGTATTCGAATTGATCAACTATCTTTCATCTGTTTTACCGACCTACTTGGAACAAGTTTTTTGACACTCAGAGTTATTCTTTTTACGAAATGAGACATTACATACGCGAATTTATAAAAATTGACAGAAAAATCGATTGGCTTTATAACAAAAGTATTTTGAACAAAAATAAGTCTTTGAAAAGTATTTCTTATTTTGTGACTTACTCTATCAAACAGTGACTTTGAAAGCTCGAATAATAGTTCTGTTTGTTGCTTCTTCTTCAATAAGCCAAATTTATCCAAGTCATGTATTAAGGAGATTAGTATTGATCTCTCTTCTTTTAAAGATAATGATAAATTTGAGAAGAGTCTAAAAGAAAATTGGTTTGTGAATCTGACTACTGAGATCATTCATGACGAAGTATGTGATTTGCTTTGTCTCGGTAAGATATTCAGTTTAATATCACAATCTCCAAAGAAACAAACGACATTTGAGATCATTCATCAAAATGTCCAAAATAATATTAGGCTTGTCGACGAAGAATTGAAACCACACATATGTTTACATACTGCTTCGTCTCTTTAACGTTTTATCAACAATCAATCTTTCATAAGTTCTTCTGAAAGAAATTTGATTGATCAAGTAAATTTGACAAAAATTTTTATTAAGGATTATCCCAATATTTTATTTACAAGAGCAGACAAAGGCAGTGTTACTGTTGCTTTATATAAAGAAGATTTTGTCTCTAAAATTGATCTTATGCTAAATGATACAAACACTTATTAAGTATCTAATTTGAAGAACCCAGCTAGGAATATTGAAAACAAACTCAATGAGTGGCTTGGCGCAAAGCGAATTCTTTTTAAAAAATATTTCTTTCTTTTATCCAACAAGAAGTCTGCGTTTATGGACTTTCGAAAATTCACAAGCCTGGTATTCCTTTTAGGATTATTGTTTCCTGCATAAATACCACCTTGTGTAAATTTGCAACCTTTTTACACAATATTTTACTCAAAAGCTTACCCAGACCTTCTAGCTTTGTAAAAAACAGCTTTGAATTATATGGAAGTCTATCGGGCTTAAATGTTAGTGAGCTGAACATTTTGTTGTCTCTCGATGTGGTCTTGCTTTTTATCAACATTTTTTTAGACTTAGCGGATTGGATAGAGTGAGAAAAAGATGGGATCAGACTAAAGATAATACAATCATCTCGCTGAAATCTTTTATCTCTGTCTTAAAGTTCGTTCTGTCTTCTACATTTTTTACGTTCAACGATACCTGTTACGAATAGACTTATGGAACCCCCATAAGCTCCCAATTCTCACTTATCTATTATAGCAGATATAATCTTGCAAGATTTAGAGGTACAATGTCTTAATAAATTAAGTTTCACATTGCCTTTTTATTATAGATATGTTGACGACATTTTAATGGCGGTTCCTAAACAGAAAGTAGACTTCATATTTAATATCAACTCTTACTATCCGATATTAAAAAAGTTCACCTTAGAAATTGAATCAAACAGAACAATTTTCTAGATACCTCTATTTTGGATGTTAATAATAAACTCATATTAAATTGGTTCCAAAAACCAACATTCTCAGAAAGATATCCACACTTCTTCTCACACTGCGCGCAATGAAAATCAAGATACTGATTTTTATATCGAAGAAAATAAACCTCATTTATTAACTCAATCAGATTTAAACGATCTTATTCGATACTTAGATTTAAGTAAAGAAAAATCAGAAAAACTAGCGTCTTAATTTAAACAATGGAATTTGTTACAGCCAGGCACGAAAGTATCGCAAACGACAATCAGATTTGATTTCGTTTGTTTTCTTCCAAAGAACAATTTCCATTTTTGTCATAATATTATAGAATTATAAAAAAAAATGGCGTTTATTTATTGACTCA